GCTGTAGGAATAATTGTCTGATGGTTTTTCGTTGCTTCACCTCTGTGGAAGTGCAGGCTGAGGGGATGGCAGTGTGCTCTCAATTGGGATTGATTTCTGGATGCTGACGTCCGACACCAGGCATGCGCGTTCCCCACTTCACGTTCTGCTGTCCTAGACGCAGTCAGAGATGTCCTTCTGTGGAGGGGGGGTGTAACTGGTTCTCTTTATGCCTTCAGCCCTGTTAGGTAAATGATCATGGCTTTCTCCTAATACTACAGCAGCAGGCAGTCTAACGAACTAAAAACTTTGTCGCTCGTTTGCCTCCCATCCCTTGAGGTCCATGTCTGTGAAGTGCAAAAAGAAGAGAGACTCCAAAAGATTCATCAGCAGGGAATCGCTGGTGCGCTGTGGAGAGGACTAGGAAGTGGAGCGTCTCCTCCGAGCTCAGCACGCGTCCAGGACAGCCCCCTCTGCAGAGCAGGGCGTGGGCTCCCTGCGCCCTTCCCTGCCCCGCGAGCCGGCTCCCAGACAGCGAGCGGTCGCACGGGCCCTGACGAGGTGAATGCGTTACGTCCCGTGCACAAGCGCGTCTGGAGCCGGGAGGGGTGCTGAAGCCTGGCCCCAGGCTCCGTGACACGACCCTGGCACCGGGCTGTCAGGGAGCAGGGCAATGGCTCAGGAAAATGTTGTCATCTGTTTACAGGGCCATCCCCGTGCATTTGGGGAACAAAGGCTTGGTTTTGGCCCCTGGAACGTGGACAGTCCGGAGTGGATTGTTCCTGTGCGTAGATACAGAACCATCTTGTTCCTCCGTTCCTTTTTTGAGCTGTGTGGTCCCTGCACGCCCCCCTCCTTGTCTTTGCTCAGCCCTGTCTGCGTCCACATCTCTAGTTTGTATTCCAGGGTCTTTATTTCTGTCTGTCTGAGTCCTGAAACTGCCCTGGAAGGCTCTTAAGTGCTTTTGTTGCTGCAGTTGACAGGAGCAAAGCCTTCCAGGCTGCATTAGTGCTGCTTCAGGCTGGCAGGCAACAGATGGAAAATAAACTAGTTCAGGAGCTCTGGGGATGGTAATGGTGCTGCAGGCAACAGAGAATAAACACGGTTAAACAGCAGAATACAGAGTATTTATCCTTGCAGCTTCAGGCTTTTACGGGGGCGGCGGGGGAAGCTTCCCCAAATGATGGGTCACAGGGGATGTGCTGCAGGCTGGCTTGTGCTGCAACTGGCTGGCGGTGATGGGGCTTGTCTGACCTGCTGTATGTCTCTCTTCCTCTCCCACCAACGTGGAGCTCTCTTCTTCTGCCTGCAAGTTGTCCCTTTCCCTTCAGTGCCGAGTGGAAGTGACTAGAAGCATCTAGAGCCTTTCTGGGGATGCTCCAAGGGAGACATTCCATTTCAGTGGTGTTTTTCACTGGATGATCTCCGTGTAGGCTTTGCAGAAGGAGAAACTGAGGCACAGGTGGCTGGGACCTTGCAGAAGTTTCTGGAGAAGACCGTGGGGTTTGCGGCTCCCCGATGTGCGGCCGAGTGAGCAGGCAGCACTCCCTGCGGAGCGAGGGGCTGAGACCCCCCATCCAGGCCTGAGGCTGGAGGCTCGGCGGGGAACCTGGCTGGAGCAGGGCAGTGGTGTGTGGTGATGCTGGCGCGGATCGCAGCGCCAGTAGAAATGAAGTTGCTTTCTGCAGAGTTACAAGGGCTCCGTTAATTTCCTCTGTTGTTTTGTAATGTGGATAGTCGTGTATTTGACTGCCTTTGTCTCACTGTGTCAGTTAATTACAGGAATCACGATCTCCAGGTGCGCTGAATATCTGCACGTTTCGGTCTAACTACCTGCAAGAGCTTGGAGATTTTTCTGACAAAAGACTTTAAGGCCGACTCTGAGCAAATGATTCAGTTTGAATTACTCAGCCAGATGTAGTTTTAATATGCTCATGCCAACAGTTCCTGGACACCGATCCCTGTTGTAAATAGCACCAAATCCTGCCAAGGGGCGTTAATCTTTTGATTTGATGGCTGTGTTTGTGTGCTGGAAAGAATGCAAATTAACTCTGAAGCTGAGAGTGGCCGGAGTGGATTTCTGCAAGACGTTGGAATGAAATATCTCTTGCCTCTTCTTCCCCAACTAGGAGCTGGCACTGAAGTCTCTGGGAAGTGAGGGGCTCTTTCTCTTTTCTTCCCTGGACACAAACAACGATCTGTACCTCAGTCCAGAAGAGTTCAAGCCGATAGCTGAGAAGCTGACGGGTAGGTGTCTGTCTACCTTGCAGAGCTCTCTCCGCACAGACCGAGCGAAAGTCAAAGATAATGCACTCAACAGGTTTTATTCATGTCTTTATTTTTTCTGGGTGCTGTTTTGGGTCTTATTTACACGAAGAGAGGGTGCTAAGCTCCACGTGTTTTTGAAAAGGCTTAAGCACTAGACATCACTTCCCAAAGTAGAGTTTTTGTAAGACGGAAGACCCCACTGCTGGCCTCACAAAGTACATGAGATACTTTGTCTGGAGCTTAAAGGGGATTTGGGATGGGGGACTGTAACAAACACAGCTCGGGCCGGGCTAGGCCAAAACTATCAACGAGTCGCAGCGCTTCATTCGTATGCTCCTCTGGCTGTGGCGGTCTCTCTCAGATAGCAGTTGTGAGAGATTGCGTTTGGAGACTCTGCCAGCATGTAGCAAATGTCTCTTGGTGGTGCCGAGCAGGAGGAAGCGTGGTGGTAATAACGTACAGGAGAGCGTACAGTGCAGTCGAAATGCAGACAGTTGTTTGCTGGTGCTGTAATGAATTGGCTACAGCGTGTGTTCTGATCCCTCCTAGGTGAAATGAGACTGCTTAACTGAGCCGTGGGGCTTAGAGAGTCCTCCGCTAAAAGGAGGGCTTCCCTTCAATTTGTGCAGCTGAAGCTGGTCTCTGGGGTGGGTCTCAGTTCTGCCGCTGTGGCCTAGGGACAGCTGGGAAGCTCCCAGTGCTCCTGGATTTGCCAGGATAAATGTGTAAGCGCTTCACAATTGCTGAAAAGGGGAGGGAGGGGAAACAGCTGCTGACAGTCCTGTCCCTTTGTCTAGGGGTTGCTCCCATCTCAGAATTTGAAGAGGAGGAGACGCCTGATCCGAGCGGGGAGACGTTGTCCATTGTGGCTAAATTTCAGCCTTTGGTCATGGAAACAATGACGAAGAGCAAAGACGGTTTCTTGGGAGTAGGTATCATGCAGGATGTGTACGGCCAGAAACTGTGGTATAAACACGTCCTGTGGGCTGGTAACCTCAGCTGGAAGAAGTGCTAGCGTGTTGGGAGGGGGGGATGGTCTCGCTGGAGCCCGTGGGATTTGCTTTGACGAGCAGAGCGCTGCTTTCTGCAGCGTTTCATTGTTTTCAGTGCACTCAGCAGCACTGTGCCCCAATTAACACACCCTTCCTGGGAAGCTAGAAGCAAACGTTAGAGATGGCTCTCGTGGAGCCGAGTCCAGAAGCGGTGGTGTTACGCGGTGTGTTCCCCTCTCTCCCGTTTCCTATTACTCACGTCGCTGAAAGCTGACAGAACAATTTGGTGGTGTTTGGGGTGGTAGGAAGAATTTAAAACGCGATACATTTTTTTTTCCCCTTCTCCAAAGCCCGCTTACATCCAGCAGCACTACTGCACGTTGGAAGAGTCTGGTCTAGGCTCTGATAGTGTCTTTTGTTCACAGATTTCTCACGTCGCTCTGTCTGGGCTGAGGAATTGGACTGCCCCAGCAGCCCCTATGAGCGTGATGCTCGCCAGGCAGTTTAAAGCCTTTCTTCCTCCGAAGAATAAACTGGATCTTGGGGATCCGTGGTGGATAATTCCTAGTGAATTGAACATCTTCACTGGGTATCTTTCCAACAACAGATTTTACCCTCCGCCTCCCAAGGGCAAAGAGGTGAGATACGAAACTCAATTTCTATATACTTGAGAGGCAGTTTGTAGAAATGTTCCGCCTTATAGCCCAGATGACTCACAGGAATCCCTAGAGGGAGAAGGCTATTGCATGATGTCTCCCTGGACTTTCTAAGGGAGCAAAACGGCTGCAGCATACAGCCAGGAGCACCGTCTCAGAAACTGGAGGTAGAACTGAGAGCAAGCAAAAGCTCTGGGTGTCTGCCATGGCCAGATGAGGCCGAGTTGAGGAGCTTTGTCTTGCTTTGCTTAAGTCTTTGGGTGGGTTTTTAGGCTGGTCTTTCCTGGCCAGGGAGGGGAGAGGGTTGTTCAGAAAGCACTTGTATGAAGTGATCGTGCCTCGTGGAACAGTTGCCAAGTGCCACCCCGGAGGGGAGCGTTCCATTGACAAGTGAAACGATGTGTACACATAGCTGGTAAAGCCAGGCGTGTGTAGCGCTCTCCCCCGGGGTGCCCGGGTGGGCGTTAGTGATCACACGGTTGATACACCTCCGCAGCCTGGTGTGCTTATTGATCGCATACCCACTCGTTCAAAGTCTTAAGTAGTATTGATGGAGGCAGCCTCGTAGATCAGTTTACCGTGCTCAGACATTCAGCCGACTGGGATGATGGAAACTTGCAAACAATGGGAATAGTGTGGATGATGGATTTATTTTTAAAAGCAGTCTCTTGCTTTATCTCCTTGTTTTGTGATTAGGTAGGTCTCCGAGCTAATTTTTAAGTCATAGCAGTTCTCTTGCCTTCCTGATTTGGTGGGGAGTTACTTTGGAGCTACAGCTGACCTGCAGTGGGGGAACTGTTCTCATTTTTGCTCTCTTACAATCCTTTCCCTAGATCATAATCCACAGGCTTTTGAGCATGTTCCACCCACGCCCCTTCGTCAAAACCCGCTTCGCTCCCCAAGGAGCTGTGGCATGCATCCAAGCCATCAGCACCTTCTACTACACCATAGCGTTCAGGTAAGGCCACGGGTCCGAGGTGTTAGAGGAGGGCTTGGGGGCACTTCTGAATTTGTCCCATGTCTCGGGGGAGTGGAGAAGGCTGCTCTGAGCCTGTGGCAGAGAGTGTGCGTGTCATTGCATGTGCAGTTGTGTTCCCAAGCAAGACCAGACGTGTCCTGGCTGGGAGGGAGGCAAAGCAGTTTGAGGAAGAGGTGGTTCACAGCCCACCCTTGCCCCCGTGTGTGATGCTTTGCTGACGCCTGAAGAGGGCCCCCCGTGGTCGCAGGGTCGCTGAGCCCCTGGTTAGGCTGGGGCTGTCGCCCAGATGCAGGACAGCGGCCGTTCTCCATTACCCTTGGTTTGGAGCTATCCCTGGCTGAAAGGGGAGAGTCTGATCAGCAAGAAATTCGTTAGATTTTGGTTAACTGGGGGCATGGAGTGCCATTCCAAAGGGGAGAGTCTGGGGAGTTGTTCTCTTGTTACTTGAGAGTGTTACATACAGCTTTTATTTGCCTGATCAAGCTGGCTGGAACGCTGAGGGGGTCTTAGTCTGTTCCTGTGTTTCAAGGAATGGTAATTCATCCTTTCTGGATGGACACTTAGTGCCCAGTTCCGAAAGGATGATCCTGACCCAGGGGATCTGCTGCAGTCTTTTACTCTCTTCACTGTGTGACATGAAAAGCTTTTTGAACTGATCCTCTCTGCCCCAATTTAGCTTCATAATTTCTGGTGCCTGGAGATAACTTCTCCCTGCTGTCATCTGCAGTGCATGATCCATTCTCTGCTCCCGGCACTGCAGCTGATGGCTCCTTTCTCATTTCAGGATCCACGCTGAGTTTCAGCTGAATGAGCCACCAGACTTCCCCTTCTGGTTTTCCCCAGGCCAGTTCACCGGTTACATCGTCCTCTCCAAGGATTCTTCCCACGTCCGAGAGTTTAAGCTCTTTGTCCCTAACAACAGGTACAGTGGTTCCTCTCTCTTCCTGGGTGCTGAACAGACTTGAGGATTGTTATAAATGAGGCCCAGTGGAACCCAGGCGCTCTGGGATCCTGTCCTGTGCAGGACTGGGGGCCGTGCTTGGGGGGAGGCTGGTGGGCTCTGTATATGAAGACAGGAGTGCAGTGACAGCCCTGTCCCTTGCGGTAGGTGGGCATCCTGTCCTGTGCCGGGAAGGCCGATCTGCAGTTGGAGCTTTGGGCAGGCTAGTTCTGCTGTTTGCTTATCTGTTTTCCCCACACATCCTTCTCTGCCGACGGTCATCGTGGTCGTCACGTCCTCAATTCTGCAGATACAGTTGCTCCCTAAACTGTTTCTGATGCAATTTTTTTCTGGAATCGCTGTTTATCAACAGGTCTGGGGGGCATCTGGCTTGGAAGAGGCAGGGAAGGACGGAGGAGAAGCAGGGTGGAGGTTGCTGGGGACGTGGAACACGGGGCTGGGGGTTGTTGTCCTTTTACAACCTGGCTGCAGCTGGCACGTGCTTCAGCTGAGCGTCCGAGCCTGTGCTGTCCTGTGCCAAACCACTTTAGAGGGAGCTACACCTTAAATTCCCCATCCCTGTGTGTCTTCCCATGTGTGTCTTCCAAGACACACAGGGATGGGGAATTTAAGTTGTCCTGATACTGTCCTGGAGACAGGCAGCAGCCTCTTCGTTAGTAGCACTGCTGCAAGCACTGCTCCCCTTGACGTGTCGCAGCAGGCCCTGGCAGATGTCAGATGCCTGCTGCTGGCCGCAGAAGGGTCCTTGGGTGCCTGTGATGGATGAGCTCATGCTTTTCAGCTGAGTCCCTGGAAAATCTGAGTGAATTGAGCTCTGCAGTTGTCTGTAAAACTGGCAAATGCATCTCTACTGGTCTCTGAGGATCCCTGACCCATTTCGGGGTCTGATTCACTCACCAGTAACTGTTCCTTGGAGGATGGGGAGAGACAGGGGCTGGAGAGCAGCCCCTGGCAATCCCAGTGCCTGGCCTCAAGCACCGAAGTTCAGCAAAGCCTGATGCTCTCACTTCAACATATTTTTTGCTTGGTGTTTCACAGGTTAAGGTTCTGCGTGCATAGCTTTGCACTAG